CTTCTGCATCTCACTCTTAGAATTGTGCCTGCAACACAATTGGAGCTCAAGATAAATCTTGAAACGAATAAATGATTAACTACACTTTTGTTTTTATTTTTGCAGCCCTGGGGATTGAACCCAGGGGTGCTCTACCACTGAGCCGTATCCCCAGCTCTTTTTACTTTTGTATTCTATTTTAGGCCTGGGGATTGAACCCAAGGGTGCTTCACCACTGAGACACAATATCCCCAGACCTTTTTTTGTATTTTGTTTTGAGACAGGGTCTCATTGTGTTGCTTAGGCCCTCACTAGGTTGCTGAGGCTGGCTTTGAACTTGAGATCCTCCTGCCTCAGCCTCCCAGGTCTCTGGGATTGCAGGTGTGCACCACTGAGCTGGCTTCACTGCACTTGCTTGGTGCTGGGGACTTTTCTGAAATATTCCTTAGCGCATTTAATCCTCATTCCACCCTGTGAGGTAGTACAGTCATCCTCAGTTCCAGGACCCCCTCAGATACCCAAATCTGTGAGTGCTCAAGTCCCTTCTATAAAATGACAAGTATTTACATATAACCTGCTCACATCCTCCCATACACTTTAGGTCCTCCCTCCTAACCATGTAAACGCTGTCTGCGTACTTGTTAGAACTATACTATCTGTACGTGTTCAGTATGAGGGCAATGTTTTTTTTCCATTACTTTTCAGTGTACTTGGGTGGAATCCCTGGATATGGGACCTGTAGGTACAGAGGGCCGGCTGTATGATTTTTTTTTTTATATTTTCCAGATGGTGACATGGAGTCTCAAGAGAGATTCAGTCACTTGCCCAAGGCTACCTTCTTTTTACCTGGCAGGTGGGGCAGAGATCTCTCTGTCTGGCTCAGCCATTACCTGTGCAGAATGAGCTTGTCCAGCATGAGGCCCTGGCTCAATCCCCGGTGCCAAGAAAGAAAGGAGGAGGACAGGAGAGAAAGACAGGGGGAAGGGAAGGGGGGAGGACAGACAGAAACCTCTAGAAGACACAGATCAGGACTGCCGGGTAGAACTTCCACTGACGGGGGAATGCTCTGTATCTGGGCTGCCCATACAGTGGTCACTGATCATTGAAATGTGGCTAATACACCTGAGGAATTACATTTTTCATTCGGTTTAACTTTTTGTTTTGCTTTGTTTTGGTACTAGGGATCGAACCACTGAGTCACATCCCCAGTCTTTTTTATTTTATCTTATTTTACTTTATTCTACGGTGGGGGTGGACAGGGTCTCACTAAGTTGCTGAGGCTGGACTCAAACTTGCTATTCTGTCTCAGCCTCTCTAGTTGCTGGGATTACAGGCACATGCCACTAAGCCCCACGTTTGATTTGATTTTAATTAGCTTTTAAATTTAAATGACCACACATGGCCACTGGCTAGCATATTAGATAGCTTTGGGCCTGGATTAGAGTTGGTGACTGGGAGTACTCTGGATGCAAGTGTGGAGAGTCGGGAAGGGTGGGCAGAGGGAAGGGTGGGCAGAGGGAAGGGTGGGCAGAGGGAAGGGTGGGCAGAGGGAAGCTGCCTACTTGCAGCCGTGAGCATCCGGGTTGCTCTGGGTACCCTACAAGTTCCCCATGCGGGGAGTACTGTTTACTCTGTTTGCTGAGGATCCAGAGGAGGGGATGGAGTCAGGTTGGTGCTCTTGGTGACTGTGGTCCTCCAACAGGGTCACTTTTTTCTGGCCACCTCCCTAGCCAATTTGTCTGTGAGGAGTCGGTACCAAGCAGGCAAGTCAAAGAGACTGCATTTCTCTGTCCTCTTCAGGATTTGTACTTGACCATTTTCAGGCTCCTTTCAGGGTGGAGTCTGAGTGGCTGATCCCACGGAGGCCTCATGGGCTTTCCAGGGACTCAAAAAAAAAAAAAAATGTTTGTTGCAGTGATAAACAAGGGACAGAGCCAAAGTGAGGACAGACTTCTGGCAGCTGGGAGGCTGCAGGGGAAGGGCGTTTATTCAGTTCCTCAATCACACCATGTAGACAGATGTTCTCAACCCCGATGGTGCCTAAGAATCATGAAGGGCAGTTTGTTTAAAAAAAAAAATTTTTTTTTTCAGAACTCACTCCCTGATATTCGTATTTAATAAGTTAGGCATGAGCCAGGCACAGTGGCAGACACCTGTAATACTAGCAACTCAGGAGGCTGAGGCAGGAGGATCTCAAGTTCAAAACCAGCCTCAGAAACCTAGCAAGACCTGTTAATGGCAAAGCTCCTCCGGGTTCAAGCCCCAGTACCCGTCCATCAACCCATCAATCTGGGGTGGGCGCTGAGAATCAGCGTTTTACCAAGACTCCACTCATCCAACACAGACCCCAAACCTCAGGCTAGACCCAGAACAATCCTTCTGAGAAACACTGATGGAGGGCGAGCCTAGGGATACAAACAGGTGAGGGAGGGAGGGAGAGTTTGCCCTATAGGAAATTCAGAGGTCCTGACCGGACTCTGAGACACTTAGAGGTGTGCATGGCGTTCTGTGTATTTTCTTGCACCGAGGGGAACTGGAATGACCCACGCCCAGGCTTCCAGCCTGACACCTGAATGTCAGAGCTGAAGCCTGAGACCCAGCTGGCCCGGGGTCCTTCTCCTAGGCAAGGATGCTGAGGAGTCCTGGCTGCACCTGGACCTGGGATGGCTGCTGACCCTGGGAAAGCTTGCCTCTGGGCTCTGCGAGTTCCACGCCCAGGCAGGCCGGCAGGTTTCCCCTCTGCTCAGCCTCCGCTGCCTCCTCTGCCCCCCATTTCTCTCCAGCGGGCTATCTCACAGTCATTTGCTCCGGGCTTCCTGTACAATTGCTGTATTTTTGCTCTCAGTTTGTGGGCTGAGTCTGAGTGGGTGTGGGAGAGGAGCTGCATGCTTCTCCTTCTCTGCATTTTCCTTCTGAGCTGGGAGGGCTTTCACTTCCTCCCCCAATTCTCATTTCTGTCTTTTACAAGCGCTCTGTCATGAGATCCCCTTGCCCATCTCTTCAGAGCACCAGGGAAGCAGAACTGAGCACAACGACTGTCCTTACAGGGCCTTGCAGCTACCTAGGAACCAAAGGACGCCTCCAGCAGCAGCAGCAGCCTCCTGGGAAGGTGCCCTGGGGAGTGGCAGGAGTAGGAGCAGGCAGGCAGCGAGCCCTGCTCCCTTCTTGGGGAAGCTGGGAAGGCCTCTGCATCCCTCTGACTCCACCAAGAGCAGGTCTTGGCCTCCACTTCCCCTTGCTCAGTCTCTCTGCCCCAGCATCCAGTGGCTCTCAGCTTGCCCCTAACTATCCTCAGCTCTGTCTGCGGGTCCAGTTCTACATCTGGGAGTCTCGGGGATCTGCCACAGTAAAGCACAGAGCCACAGAGGAGTAAGCCTTCATCAGGTAGGCTTGACGACTTCCCATCCCAAACTCTCTGAACTTCAGTCGCCTCTTTCAAAGTTTTATGTAGATCAGTGGAGAATTAAAAAAAAAAAAAAAAAAAAAAACCTGTAGCTTCGTCAAAGTGAAGCCAGGCATGGTGACTCATGCTTGTCATCCCAGTGGCTTGAGAGGCCGAGTCAGGAGAATCAGGAGTTCAAAGCCAGCCTCAGCAACCAAGTAAGGCCCTAAGCAACTCAAGGAGACCCTGTCTCAAAATAAAAATAAAAAAAAAATAAAAAGTGCTGGGGATGTGGCTCAGTGATTAAGCATCCCTGGGTTCAATCCCTGGCCAAAAAAAGAAAAAAAAACCTGTAGCCAGGCACAGTGGTGCATGCCTGTAATCCCAGCCACAGTGAGAGGTTGAAGCAGGAGGAGTCCAAGTTCAAAGGCAGCCTCAGCTAACAAGATCCTGTCTCAAAAATATTTTGGGGATGTCGCTCAGCGGTGAAGCCCTCGGGGTGCAATACCAGCACCAAAAAAAAAAGGAGGAGGAGGAAGGGGGGAAGGGGAAGGGCAAGGGGAAGGAGAAGATGTGTAAACCCTGGTCTCTGTCAACACTGGCCTGTTAGTGCAGTAACTTTTCTCTTCTGAACTCAAAGACCACAACCATCCAGAAAGCGAAGAGAGCCACAGGCATTCCAGCCCAACTTCCACCTGTGTGGACCTTACCTTTCCTGCGGGGAGAAATCTAAAAAGTGGTTCCCCCAGGAGCTCAGGGTGGCATAAGCAGTGACAGCCAGAGCCACTGTCTCCCAGCCATCCGTTCCAAATATCTACCGGCTGCCCCTTGGTTTTCCGTTGTGTCCTCAAAGAAGCCCTCAGACCCTAAAACAACCCTCTAGAGCAGCAGGTCCTCTAGAGCGAAGCCCAGGCAGGCCGCTGGGCGCGTAGCCAGACCCATGGAAAGGCCTGGCAGCGGGGGCAGAGTGCAGTCCACAGGGGCACGAGGCCCTCACTCTCCAGTCTGAAAGGGGTATCCAGCTCAGGTCACCCCCAGAAGGTTCCAATGCCTTGCTGCCCACTCAGTTAAATTCCCAGGACGGGACAATTGGCTTGCCAGAGCTGGTGCCCCCTGAAGCGAGTGCGTGCGGCGGGAGAATCGGTGACTCAGCGCCCGTGATGTCAGACTTCACAGTCAGGGCACTGTCATCCACACGGACACCAGAGGGTTGGGGTAGAACCAGGCGGGGTGCCCCGCTCAAACACAAGGGAGAAGCGGGGTGCGGGGACATAGGATGCCCCGCTGGGGCGCCCTCGGTGGCATCTCCACTTAGAATAACCGGAGAAAATAGATGCATGGGGCTCTGGGACGCGGGAGTCAGGTCCTTGTCCTGTACCTAGACCTCAGGTAGCTACCGAGGCACAGACAGACCCGAGCGCAGCAGCACGCAGCAGGGGGCGCACCCACCCCCGCAGCGGGATCAGCCCTGCTCTGGCGACTGGTGCCCGCGGACACCTAAGGTAGCCACAAAAAAGGGGGGCGACCTCACTTCCTTTGCTCGTTCCAGTCTCCCCCCACCGCCACCCCCCGCCCGATCGTGAGCGGCCACGGCGGATCCCCCACCCGCCCGCGACCCCCGGCGCGCGGGAGCCCTTACCCAGCGCCGCGCAGTCCCCTGGAGCCAGCGCCGCCCCGGGCGCCGCAGAAAGCGCGGCCAGCAGCGCGCACAAGGCCAGCATGCTTCCTCCTCGGCCGCCGCCCGCGGTCCCAGGGAGGCAGGTGGGGGGCGGCCGGGCCGGGCCGGGCGACGCGAGGGCGAGCGGGCCCCTCCGAGCCCCTCCGCGGCCGCGCTCCGCTCCCAGCCGAGTGCCTCGGCCCCGCCGAGCGCCCAACTCAGCTCCCTCTGGCCCGGCGCGGTGTCAGGGCAGCTTCCCACTTGCACATGACTCAGAGCCGCGGACAGTCCTGGCAACGCAGGAAAACATTTGAGGAACTCGCGCTCGAGCGTCCCTTGGCCGTCCCCGGTGCAGTTACGAAAGCTGGAGCGGGTGGCGCAATCGCCCCGCGCACCGCACCGGCTCCCGGAGGGGGCGGCTTCCTGCCGCCGGCCGCACCTGAGCGGGGAGGGCAGGCACCTCGAGCCTTCCCGGGGCCCTCCCCGAGGTCTGTCGACGAGGGCAAGGGAGTTGGCCACCGCGGGCTGGGTTTTGAGTTTTGGTTTCGTGAGCTGGTGACACTGTGAAAGGCGCACCTGGGGAGCCTGGGAGAGGCGAGGGGCCTCTTACCGTTACCAGGAAGCAGCGCTGGGCCGCCCGCGCCGCCCAATGGAACCGTCTGGGGACCTCGAAAGACACCGACGTCTGAACCCGACCTCCAGAGACTGATTTGACGGGTCCGAAGTGAGACTCGGACGTTGGAAAACTCACTCGACAGAGGTCAGGTTCTCTCTGCGCTGCGGCTCCTCTTAGGCTGCTGGGGGCTGCGGGGAAGGTGTGGGTTGTGGAGTCTCACGGAGAGATTTTCCACCCAGACCTGCCACCTGCTGCGGTTGTCACTGTCGTTCAGAATCTCTGAATCTCAGTTTCTTCACCTGCCAGATGGAGATAAGAAAAGCCGGTACCCGACAGGGTGATTATGAAGATTCCAGGAGAGGACGTCTAAGCACCTGGGCCACAGGTGCTCAACGAGCTACCAGAACCTGCAGGTCCCCCATCTTGGTAGAAACTACACTTTGCTTTCAGGAGCAACCACGAGGGACCTCCTAAAGGGGCCCACCAAGTTTCCCCAGAGAGCCTGAAGCAGATAGGGTGGCCTCAGAGCGAAATTTGAAGGGGATGAAAAAATACTGAAATAAGGTTTAAGTTGAGAAGTTTCTGGGCCTGCAACTGCTTATTAGAATGAATGTGTTTTTCCACTTTGTGCTTCAGGCAGATTCTAAACCCAGATCAAGGCCCTGGGAATGACGAAGTTTGTGGCCTGATGGAACCCCCAATCCCAGAGGACCTGGCCTGGAGAGACAGGGCTTCTGAAATGCAGCCCTCAGACCCCAGGCATCTGGACCTTTCCGTGGGAAACACCCATCAGCAATGCCAGGAAGACACATGCACTGACCCCCTGAACAACTGGGGGCTGTTTGGGTGTGCTGCGTTCAGCCACACCTGCAGACAGGGAAAGAGAGGCATGTTGGAGGGTTGATATTTCCCCAGCAGCCCTCTCTTCGCTATTTAAAGAGAAATTGCCATGGAACTGGAGTGTGGTTCCCAGTGTGGTTGCTTCCTTTCCCTGCCACACCGCCAAACTCCTCTCTGCATCCCCACTGCTCTTCGTGAGGCCTGGCTCTTCATGAGGACCTTTGTTTAGGATACATGACCTCCCCTGGGGCCCTGAGCAACTTCTCGGACCTTCTTTAAGCCCTGAGTCTACACTAAGTGGAAGTTCAAATTTCTAGGGCAACATTCCAGGTTATTATGAAAAACATTGATAAGGAAGGAAAGAAAATACCTATGCAGTTCAGTCTGGCCGGCCCATTCTCAGATCTGATCCCTGATGCCAGCAGCCTTGGGGTGGGTAGCTCCCACCCATCCCTAGGAAGGACGAAAACAAAAAACAAAGACTCAGGCCACGGGAATATGGAGTTGCATAGAGCTCCAGGTGAATGGCAGGGTGGGAATGCAGGTATCTGGGCTCCAAAAACACAGAAATGAGAACCAGACGAGGCTGAAGCATCCTGAGTCCAAGATTTCAGACATGCTGCGGTGGTGATTCTGCAGCAGAAGGACCACAGGGGACTTCAGCCGTCCAAAGTGTTCCTGCAGTTACCCTCTGTCTCCCCTAGAGGGAGCAGCTCTGGGCTGACTCTCCCCAGCCAGTAAATCCTCTCACCTCTGAGCTAAAGAAATTAAGCTGCTAAGAGTTTGCCAAAGACAAAAGCCTATGGGGAGGCCTCGTAGAACGAGTAATTAAAATTGTTTCTGATACAATCTCTCGCTTTACAGAATGGAAACTGAGACCCCCAGAGATGAAGTTGTGTACTGAAGATGATGCAGTGAGAGACAGCAGACAAGACACACTGACCCGACCCTGCCACGATCGGTGTTTTCTTATTGCTGTTTGGTTGTTTTTGATTGAACCCCAGAGCACTTTGCCACCCTGTGACATTCACCTTTTTTTTATTTTTTATTTTGAAACAGGGCCTGGCAAAGTTGCTGAGGCTGGCCTCAAACTTGCAATCCTCCTGCCTCAGCCTCCCTGGTCACTGGGATTACAGATGCGCACCCCATGCCCAGCTGCGTGGTCTGTTTTTTAAAAATATTTCCAGTTGTAGATAGACACAATACCTTTATTTTATTTACTTATGTTTATGTGGTGCTGAGGATGGAACCCAGGGCCTCACATAGGCTAGGAAGGACTCCACCACTGAGCCCCAGCCACAGCCCCTACATGGTCCATTTTTGGTTCCCTCCGTCCACCACCCTCCAGAAGTCTGGGCTGTGCAGTGAGGCCATTCTTTACAGGAGTTTAAAACAGCACACTTTGTTCTTTTCTTCTCCTCCTCCTCCTCCTCCTCCTCCTTCTTCTTCTTCTTCCTGCTGGAAATTGAACCCAGGGGCACTAACCACTTAGCCACATTGCCAGTCCCCCACCCCGCCTTTTTTTTTGGTATTTTATTTAGAAACAGGGTCTCACTGAGTTGCTTAGGGCCTTGCTAAGTCACTGAGGCTGGGTTTAAACTCACGATCCTCCTGCCTCGGCCTCCTGAGCTGCTAGGATTACAGTGTGTGCCACCGCCCAACTGACCTGTTTGTTCGTAACTCACCTTAGGGTCAGGGATAATTATGGGTTCAGAGGGGTGGGGTTGGACCAATGTACAGACCTCTCCCTTGGCCTCTGGCGTTGGAGTCAGCTCCCGGGCTCCTGTTTCATTAATAATTAAGGAAGAACTTCTCTGAAACTTCCCCTACCCCCTTCTTATCAGCCTGGGAGGAGGTGTGTGGGCAGATAGAGGTAGGACTTCTGAGGGCCCCACCTCTCTGATCAATAGGACTCTGTGTCTCTGACCACTTGTGCTTCTAGCCTCAGGCCCCAGCCAGGGACCAGCTCTCCAACTGCCTGGGGAGCCCTCACTTCACAGTGGGGGATGAGCATCCCCAGTTCTGGCAAAACGATGCTCAGGCTCAGCCCATGGCTCACCCATCTGCAGCTGAGGTCAGTACATTTTCTGATCTGCTTTGCACTGCAGCAGCACAGGTGAGTTTGTCCCATGGAAGAGATTTTTTTTTTTGCACCATTCTCAGAAAGGGGTCATAAGAGCCTCTTGCCCTTTTTGTTTATAGAATGCTATGATTTTGCTAAGAAGCATCATGATTAAAATTAAATGAGGGCTGGGGTTGTGGCTCAGTGGTAGAGCGCTCGCTTAGTATGTGTGAGGCCCTGGGTTCGATCCTCAGCACCACATAAAAATAAATAGATAAAATAAAGGTATCGTGTCCAACTACAACTAAAAAATATAAATATTAAAAAAAATTAAATGAGATTGCCGCATGATCCAGAGTTCCACTTCTGGGTAAATACACAAAAAAATTGGAAGCAGAGACTCAAACATACTCGTACACACATATTCATAGCCACATTATTCAAGAGCTGGGGCTGTAGCTTAATGATAAAACACTGGCCCAGCACCCCCTGAAAAAGAGTGATACATTGTAGCAGCATTATTCAAAGTCATGAAAATGTTGGGAAGAAAAAAATAAGTGTCTCTCAACAGATGATTGGACAAACAAAATAAAAGATGTGAACAAAATGGAACATTATTCAGCCCTAAAAAGGAAGGAAACTCTGAACCCTGCTACAAGACTGAATCTTTTTTGGTATTGGAGATTTAACCCAGGGGCATGTTGCCACTGAGTTATGTCCCCAGCAGCCCCCCCACACACACACACACAGGTCTCTCTCTAAGTTGCTTAGAGCCTCATTAAATTGCTGAGGCTAGCCTTGAACCTACAATCCTCCTGTCTCAGCCTCCCAAATTGCTGGGATTACAGGTATGCACCAACTCACCCGACAAGAAGAATGAATCCTGAAGACATTATGCTAAGTGAAAAGGGGAGAAATACTACATGACTTCACTTATGTAAGGTCCCTAAATAGTGCAAGTTTTAGGAACAGAGAGTAGAATGGCACAGGGCACAGTGATGCATGGGAGTGGCTCGGGAGGCTGAGGCAGAGGATTGCAAGTTCAAAATCAGCCTCAGCAATTTGGCAGGACCCTAAGCAACTTGGTGAGACCCTACTCAAAATAAAAAGGACTAGGGAAGTGGCTCAGTGGTTGAGTGCCACTGGGTTTAATTCCTTACAAAAAAAGAAAATGAAGAAAGTAGAAGAGCAATTACCAGGGATGAGGAGGAGGAAAGAATGGGACGTTACTGTTCCGTGGGTGGAGAGTTCCTGTCTTACAAGGTGCGTGGTGGTGATGGTTGCGGAATAATGGGAATGTGCTTCAGGCCACTAACTGTACCCTTAAAAATGGTTAAAATGATAAATCTCATCTTTTGTATTTTTTGCCATTTAAAAAAAAACTCACAATTAAAAGATTCGTTTAACTAGGAACTTGAAACCCTATATATACAAGGTAGATGCACAGTTGGGTGGGTGGGGAAGGGAAATAATTCGTGTCACTTAAGGATATAGCAGGAGACCCCTTTAAAAGCCTGATACACAATGTAACCCTATGTGCAGAAACTCTGCAACCAGACTCCCTGGGTTCGAATCCCAGTTCTATCACTTACCAGCTGCTGCCCTTGGATAAGTTACTAACTTCTTGGTGTCTCAATGTCTCCGTCTGTAAATTAGGGAAAATCAAGGTATTCTCATAGGATTTGTATAAGGATTAAATTAGTCAACCGGTCATGGGGGTACACACCTGTAACCCCCCCTACTTGGGAGGCCGACACAGGCAGAATGCAAGTTCAAGCTCAGCTTGGGCAATATGACAAAACCCTCTCGCCGCCAGGCGTGGAGGCGCACACCTGCAGTGCCAGCAGCTCAGAGCCAGCCTCGGGTACGGTGTGGGGTCAGTAGGAGAGCACTCGCTCAGCCTGCAGGAGACACTGGGCTCAATCCCAGCACCACATAAAAAAAAATGAATAAACAAAGCCAGCCTCGGCAAAAGCAAGGCACTGAGCAACTCAGTGAGACCCCCATCTCCAAATAAAATACAAAATAGGGCTGGGGATGTGGCTCAGTGGTGAGTGCTCCTAAGTCCAGGCCCTAGTACCCCCCTCAAGAAAACCCCTCTTGCTAAATTGTTTAGTGCCTCCCTAAGTTGCTGAGGCTAGCCTCAAACTTGCGATCTTCCTGCCTCAGTCTCCCACGTAGCTGGGATTATAGGTGTGCGCCTCCATATCTGGCCTGAATATGTTTTTAGAATTACAGCTCATAGCCAGGCACACGCCTGTAATCCCAGCAACTTGGGAGGCTGAGGCAGGAGAATCACAAGTTCAAAGCCAGCCTCAGCAAATTAGCGAGTTCATAAGCAATTTAAACAAGATCCTGCCCCCAAATAAAAAAGGCTGGGGATGTGGCTCAGTGGTTAAGCACCCCTGGATTCAATCCCCCGTACCAAAAATGAATAAATTACAGCTCATTTTATCACCTATAAAATAGACAGGTTGAAATATAATTTGGTGGTGGTGCACACCTGTGATCCCAGTGACTTGGGAGGCTGAGGCAGGAAGATTGCAAGTTCCAGGCCAGCCTCAGCAATTTAGTGAAGCCCTAAGCAACTTAGCAAAATTCTTTCTCAAAATAAGATATAAAAAGGGCCGGATGTCATTCAGCTGTCAGCCCCATCCCCACCCAGAGACCCCTCCCCATCCCCCGTTTAATCTCCAGTACCAAAAAAAAAAAACCAAAAAAAAATGTAATTTGGTCACTAGATGCTCTTTGAGCCTCCTGCTAAGAAGCCCCTTGGGTTAGTTAGTGCTTGGGTCTACAGAACCATTTACCCACAGACCTGTTTGGGATTTTTTTTTGGTTTTTGTTTTGTTTTTTGTTTCGTTTGGTTTGGTAGCAGGGATGGAACCCTTGGATATTCAACCACTGAACGCCATACCCAACCCTTTTTTGTATTTTATTTAGAGACCGAGTCTCTCTGAGTTGCTTAGGGCTTCGCTAAATTGCTGAGGCTGGCTTTGGACTTTCGATCCTCCTGCCTCAGCCTCCCGAGACCTAACTATTGATTCAGGTTTGCTTCTGCTGACAGCAGGCATGTCATGTCAGAGCTGAGGCTTCAGCAATCACTCCTCTGCCAATTCACTTTTCCTGGAAGATAGTCTAAACTTGGATTTCACAAGTACCCATGAATTGTTTGCTCTTGTGCTTCCCAGCAGAGACTGCTCTGGATTTTTGTAGAAAAAGGGTTGAGTGATAATCACTCTCTATATTGCTGATCACATACTCCATTTGTATATATTATAAGCGGACTCTTGCATATGTGCAGCTTTTTATGTGTAATCAGACAACATAAACCCAGCTCTGCTATTGACAGCTGGGACCCTGGGACAATTATTATCTGTCTGAACTTCATTTTCCTTATTTATAAACTAGAAATAGTAAACCCAGTGTAGCAGTGCACGCCTGTAATCCCAGGTCCTCAGGAGGCTGAGACAGGAGGTTGGCAAATTCGAGGCCAGACTGGGCAATTTAGCGAGATCCTGTTCAGAATAAATAAAAAAATAAAAAAGGCTGGGGATGTAGCTCAGTGGTCGAGTGCCCCTGGGTTCAGTCCCCATTAAGTGCCGGTGCAGTGGGGGTGACAGATAATAACAAGTGTTGGAGAGGATATGGAGAAACTAGAACTCTCATCTGCTGCTGGTAGGAGTGAATATGAAATGACATAGTCATTTTGAAAAACAGTCTGGCAGTTCCTCACACTGATTAAACATAGAGTTACTGTATGATCCAGCAATTCCACTCTAAGGTATGTATCCGAGAGAAATGAAAACATACGTCCACACAAAAACTCATACATGATGTCTTCAGCAACATCATTCACAACAGTCAAAAGATAGAAAACCAAATGTCCATCAGCGTGAGTGGATAAATAAAAACGGGGTATATCCATACAAGGAGATATTATTTGGCCAAG